CAAATCTTGAACAAATCTTGTGCTTGCTTGGGGAGAATGATGTATACGCAAATGTCGAGGTCAGCTTAATTTTAGGCCAACATTCATTTTTACAATACCTTTGCAAATCTGTCTGTTCTGCCCAAAGAAGCGGATGAGTATTTCTCTCACCAAAACGAATAGCTGAGGGTATGCAGTACGGCTTTAAACGATAATAAGATATGGCGTTTCAGTCAAATTCACCGTTTGTATTTTATAACACTGCAAGTGTAAGAACTGGGATATACCGGCAATAAATTTATATGACTGGGCATGTCCAGTGCTGCAGTGATAATGAATAAATAAATGCACTCTGTGGCTTTGTGGTATGCAACAATCCAGGCGTGAAAGATGACAGATGTGCCCTTTCTCCTAGTGTATGTAACTGTATGCTTATCTCTCTACAGTCCTTCCTTCTTTGCTCTCGTAGGAATCAACCACTCTACAAGGTTGGCCAAACATCCAGTCCATTCCCTGTTTTCCTGTGAGCTGCAGATTTGTGAAAAATGTGCTACAGTCATTGGTATGCTGCTATAGCAACTTTGTAGAGGTAACAGGCGCCTCCAGGTGACTGTTGCTGTGAATTGGAAGTAAAACTGAATCTAAAATTGAATTAAATAACGGGTTTTCAAACCCGATAATGAGGTAAGTGATGTCATATTTTCTCATGGCTTTGCGTTTCTTTAATTGCTTCTTTATAATCTTTCATGGACCCTAGATTTATATATATAATTTTTTTCCCTGGGTTGGGTGGGGGTTCGGTTACAATTTTGGCTCCGACTTGCCCTTAGTGTCATTTGATAAAGCTACAATGTAACTTTGGGATGAAATGGCATTTATTTTGCACTTTTTTAGTCTTAGTGACCAGTTAAAGTACTTTAAACTACAAATCACTTTCATCTTATTAGTGATTTAGGAAAAAAAAGTCGCTAAGCCTTGAACCCCAGGACTACAGTAAGTGTTAGAAATGTAGGTGTCATAATAAGCTGATTATTACATCTTTTTTTGTTTTGTTTATAACAATAATAAGATAATAAGATGTGATTGAAGTGCAGACTTTCACTGTTATGGCATGTGTCAGCTGGACAGGTCACTAGTGTTTATTTATGATGTGACTGATAATAGAAGAAGCAGGATGTATTGTAAAGTGTACAGTGCTATACTTTCTGCTCAGATCCAGCCAAATGTTGCAAAACTGATTGGACAGTGCTTCAGAGTGCAAACAGTAACAGCAATGGGCTTTTAAAAAAACAGCATATTGAAAATTATGTTAGTTTGTCTAATTTATTTTTAATCTCTGTAGTATGTAAACTATGTATACATCCTATATAGATTACCATGTATCAAAATGGTTGTATTTGCAAAAATATTTTTCATAAAATCCTTTGAAGTAAAGCAGAAAGTCTGCTCCACATGGTGATTGTTTGATAATATTTTCTGCTATTTTGTTACTTTCCTATTCTATGTTATACAAATAAGTTTTATGTTTTAATATTCTATGATTTAATACTATCTAATTCGTAAAAAAACAAACAAAAAAACAATACAAATATCTTGATGTGCAAGGTTTTAATAGAACAATATGTCATGCTACTGATTATATAATTTATTTCCCTGATCAACACTCCAATGCTTTATTGTTTGGTTATAATCAACAGAGTCCCAAGGTATCCTTAAGTGTTCAGTGAAACTTACATCATAGTGAGTTCTGACTAGCTCCAAATAGGTTTGTGTGTATTCAGTTTCAAACATGTTCCCCAAAAATCAGACATTAAGTTGTAATATCAAGGTAATTTTCAAAAAGAAAGAACCCCACTTGCAGTAAATGACATACTTAAGCACCTTCATGTCAAACATATCCTTTAACAACAAACTAGCAAGCTGTTTATTTGTCAAGTTAGACACCAAAAGTATCAGAATACTTTATTAATCTCATCTGGAATTATGTACAGTTAAAAAATATGAAAGCATGTAAAGTTTTATTTTTTTAACTGTATTAAAATACGTAATCAGTTGTTATAAACCGCTGCATAATATCAGTAAAGAAAGAATACATAAGGTGTAGTAGTAAGTTTGCTAAGTTACAGTTTTTCTCGATTGGTTTGGCTCATTTCTTGAAACCGAGATGACATTCTCAAAATAACATGGACAAATCTCCAAACCACCTTGCAATTGTCCACAACAGAATGTCATTTTTCATTTCATATAAATAGTCAATGCCCCCAAAATGCATTATACCTTTGGCATTGTTTAAGCACTGCAAGTCAAAATGCTTAGACGTTCTGTCACTGAGGCACAGGTCTAGCAACAGAATACCACTATGAATAAAACTAAAAGATGTTACAGTAAAATCAGCCTCCAATAAACCACTCATACTCAAGGAAACTGTAAACATACTTATCCGTACAAAGAAATGTTAACATTAGAGAACATACTGTGAAAAGAAAACATATACAGGATTCTGTAAATGTGAACAGTTATAAACACAAACAAAAAACAAAAAAAACAAAAAGAACTCTAGCCTACCATACTGTAAATAAGGTTTCAGAACTATAGTACAGTAATATTTTCAGTGGTCGCCATTGTCACCCTCTCCTTCCTGGCCACCATCCTCATCCCCCTGGCCATCGACGCGCTGCTCTCTGTCAGGCCATAAATTCTCATCCACATCGCAACGGATATTTTCTCTTGCGATGCAGCGAGGGAAGAGATATTACTAGTTAATAACTTCTAAAACAATCATACAACGCTCATTATCATATTCAAACCATTTCCATATTCTCTTTTTATTTAATTCTTCCTGCACCCACTACCTGTCGCAATCCTGACATATACTACAAACAACACTAAATTTTTAACAAATATATGCTTTATGCAAATCCTGACACAACATTTAATAACTATCACATACTTGCTCATATTTCTTGTCATTAATATTCAAAACATCACATAAAAATAACAGTACTCTACCTACACACAACAACCAACCAACTAATATCGATACATATTCATTACCTTTCCCTCGAAATATGAATAAAAATAACAGCAACATAGCTGCACTCCACCGCTTCCATTAAGCCAAGTTTATAACTTCAAAATTTGCCTTATATCATCAAACATCATTTATATGTTCACTCGTGCTCTCACCTCTCCACTAGCCTCACTCATTCCACTCGCCCTTTCTTCCTGTCTTTCCTCGACAAATGCTTTATTAATCTTCCATCACACTGTCAAAAACTCCCCTACAAGCTATGTCTATATACTTTCACAATCAAATCAAGACAACACTCGATAATCAAAACCTTTGATGTCACGAGATAAATCTCCTCTATATTCTAATGTTCACCATTGAATTTCAATTCTTACTAACACAAATCAAAAAATTTCATTTAATAACTGATATAATTTACAATAGACAGAGCAATGATACTACACAATAAACCAATATATTTTTTTAAAACCGATTCACTTAAAAATCAACTAATCACATAACACAGACATTAATTTAAAATGCAAATTACCATTATAACTTTAATTACCTAATCATTTTTAAAAAACACATAGCACTAACATTACTAACATCAATTATAATAAAACTAAATGAAAAATAAAATCGTTGACAATCAAATTAAATTCCATATATAAGTCATCCATTTCAAAAAGCCAAACCAATCGATAAACTTAAACTGTAACAAACATTATAACTACACCTTAGGTAATCTCACTTAATCCTAATATAAACAACGATATTATTAAACACATAAAAAAACTATACATGCTTTCATATTTAATGTACATTCAGTATAAAATAAAAGATGCATATTTATCTACACAATAAAAATTTTATTATTAATAGATTTCAAAACATAATATCATGACTCATTCTTTCTTTTAAAAATTACGATAAACAACTAATCATATTTACATTTAAAGACAATACACAAAACCTATTTACATATCAAACTCACTAATTAAGTTTCACTAACATCTTAAGACCGACTTTAAAAAACAAACAATAACATGTTCATTAATAAAATAAATCATAACATACAATTTTATAAAACCTTACATCAAGATATAGTATTTTTTTTTTTTACAAATAATTATATAAATCAGTAAATATAAAAACATAAACAATTAAACAGTATAATATAATAACAATACAAAAAAAATATCAACAACACATTTGCAACGCTCTTATTCAAAATTTATTAAAAATTTCAAATTACATACCATATGCATGTTATCGATAAAGTTAACATAATTACATAACTACAAATAAAATAAGATTTAACAACTAAACATAAAGTTTCCGAAACGTTTTTTTTAAAACCATCTTATATTACTTAAGCACGACAACACGTTTCAATCATTCTTACATAAAAGAACCTCACTTAAACAATACCAATCTCTCAATCTCATCAATACAACCCACTACAACCAAACATAAAGCTACATTTACAATCACAATATTATTTATATA